CAATATCCTAAACAAACTCAACCAAATCAATAGTAGAGCGAGGAACAAGTTATACTAGATTGAAACCACTTAAAGATACAGATTCATACCTTCTCGATGTTCTCTCTGATCGCGTACTTGACAGAACGCTGGCAAATCTCTGTGATGTCCGCACCGCTGAAACCTTGTGTGTACTTTGCAAGAGCCCTCAAGTCAACTTCTTTCGCCAGTGGCGATTTCCTCAGGCAAGACTTGAAGATTTGGTAACGAGACTCTTCATCAGGGAGAGGAATGTAAATGAGCTGATCGAGACGACCAGGACGTAAAAGTGCAGGGTCGATGATGTCTGGTCTGTTTGTTGCTCCAATGATGAAGACAGTCTTCTTAGCAGACATGCCATCCATTTCTGTAAGAAGCTGGTTCAGTACTCTGTCTGCTGCCCCACCAGCATCTCCAACACTATTCCCTCTCTGTGATTACATTGAATTTTTTTTTAGATAAGGTAAACCGCATAAGTTGCATAAGTGGAGAGAACAAGGAACCGAGTACGATACCTGAGTTGCAATGGAGTCGAGCTCATCGAAGAAAAGAACACAAGGAGCAGATTGGCGTGCTTTGTCGAATATCTCTCTGACATTGGCCTCACTCTCTCCAAACCACATTGTGAGGAGCTCAGGACCTTTGATGCTAATGAAGTTGGCTTGACATTCGTTTGCGATAGCCTTGGCCAATAAGGTCTTTCCACAACCAGGAGGACCGTAGAAAAGGACTCCTTTAGACGGTGACATCCCAAACTTCTCGAATTTCTCCGGATGCTCGACTGGATATTGAACAGTCTAAAACATAGCAAAATTTGAATGGTTTAGTCCACATTCACAGGTCAATAGAAAAAGATATCGAATTTTTGAAAGAACTCTTAATTTACCTCTTGGAGTTCCCTCTTGATGTTTTCAAGACCACCAATGTCCTCCCAAGAAACATTAGGCACCTCAACGACCGTTTCACGTAGTGCAGAAGGATTGCTGTTACCAAGAGCAGTCTGGAAATGCTCATTAGTGACAGCCATAGAATTGAGAATTTCAGCATCTATCTCTTCGTCTTCGAGATCAATTACATCCATCTTCTCCCTGATGCATTGGAGTGCCGCTTCGGTGCACAATGCTGCAAGATCAGCACCAACATACCCGTGGGTGTCTTTGGATGCTCTTTCCAAATCAACCTGATTAAGAGCAAATCATGTCAGGTCTGACAAACAAAAAAAGGCAGAAGAAAATAAG